GTGTGAGAGTGTGTGTGTGTGTGTGTGTGTGTGTGTGTGAGAGAGTGAGAGTGTGTGAGAGTGTGTGTGTGTTAGAACTAGAGGCGCCGGTTAGCTGAAGAAAGGTTCAGTGTTTGTTTTGAGTGTTTCACTGCGTCATCACGCTTACGGTCACATGACGTTCAGCTCCAAAACACGCATAAACACCTGCTGAACCCCTCAGTAGCGCGCTTATAAACTCAAACTCAAGCTATTACTGACAATCAGTCTTTTACTCACCCGTGATGTACTCGGCGCGTTTTCACATCACCGGAAGAACTACTGACTTCCTCTTTCTGGCTAATCACAACCGGGTCAGGAGGTTTTCGCTGCTCTGCCGCTCTCTCACGTCCATCAGTGAGCTGAAAAGCACACCAGTTTGTGTACTATATACAGTTTACAGATGTTTTTCTTGGCTTTTGCCTTTTGTTGTATTGTTAGGAAAATTAATGCAATAAATTGTTGCATTCTTTCACCAGTCTGAGGTTTTTGAGCCTGTTTCTGCTCCTGTCATATTTAATAATAATAATATTTAATAAGCGTTATTGTTGTTATTATTATTATTTACAGTTGAAGTCTTATATAATTTTTTTTATAGTTATTTTGGTCCAGATAGTTAACATAGCCAGGGTTGCCAGGTTTTCACAACAACAACAAGAGAGTGAGAAATCTAGCACATTGGCGAGCCACACAAACCACTGCTCGGCCAAATACAGTCAACCCTGACCGCACACATTCATCACACAGCACAGCAGCACAAATCTCGCACTGTACACATTTAATAAAGAAATGCAGAAGTCATATAAATCAAAATGTGTCCAATGCACAAATAAAGACCAAATTATACAGACAATTCCCATTAGTGGTTATTGTACAGACATACATCATTTAATATATCACAAACACAACCCACCATAGCAGATAAGGAGATTCTTTTTAAACATTCCCTTGCAAAGACATTCTGTCAGCAGTTTCATCAAGTATTTGACAAATCTGTTTCTGTCGTATCATTTAACCCACATTCACAGAGAGAGAAGTCAGACAAACTAGAGAGAGAGCACATAGAAACCCCTTCAAGAGATCTAGTGAAGAGAAAAATACACAGGCAAACTTCAAGTCATGTGATGATCGGGACATAATCGAGCAAAAGTACTTGACAAAATCATCTCCTCCGTTCCAGATCCAAAATAAGTGAGAGGATGCGGAGTAATAAAACGAAAAGTGTGAAACAAGCCTGTCTGTTTCTGCAGCGATGCACGACGTGAGCACAGTACATCATACGAGCGTGTGCAGTGAACACAGAAAACACACGCTCTTTCACAGGAGCCATTCCATCCAGAAACCCGCTTCATCAGGAGCGGCGCCTTCGCAAAATACACTTGCTTATGAAATGTCATCGTTCACCTCAAAATGTTCTCTCGCATAAAGCCTAGTTTTTGTTTAGTTTTTAAAAAACACTTGTTTTCAATTAATCATTAATGCAAATAATATGGTCCTAAAAACAATGCCTTGTTGCAAAACAATTTATTTTTTTATTATTATTTTGGGGTAAAATATGAGCTGGATGTTTGCTGGTGAGACTCACTCAAACTATATTTTCATTGTCTACATGTAGCCCTCAAATAGCACAGAATATTGTGATAACTGTTTGGGCTTTACCTGCCTAAATATTTCTTAAGTCTCTTTCAGTTTTCACTAAACGCACAAAGGTTTCAGAATGATAGGGTCCCATAAGCTACATAAGGCATGATTCCCTGTGAGTCCTGACTCCCAAACCAACGAGCTGTCAGCAGAAAGCTGTCCTTTCCACCCGGAGCACATCCATCTCTAGCTTTCGCTCAGTTTAGAGGAGCGGAGGTTATTTGGCAGGTGTGCCGTCTCCGTCTTGGAGCGTGGGCTTCTGCTGGGACTCTGCGGACTGCTCCAGAGCGTGCTGGACCAGAGTGTCTCTCTGCATCTGCTTGGCCTTGTTGTAGAGCAGGACTCCCAGGAACACCATGAGGGTCCCGACGGCGGACACCAGCGTGATGGGGTTACTGAACACGATGATGCTGAGCCAGATGGACAGAGCGTGCTTCACTGTGCTCGCCACACTGCCGGAGGACACAAACAGCATCAGCACAGCACTACGCACTCGCATTCAGGCTTTCTGCAGGATTTATGACCCATCAAAGAAAAGGTAAGGAGCTGAGAACGAGCTGTTGAAGTCTGAAAACACCACTTCCAACCGATCTCCATCACTTCTTAGCAGTGTTGGGGACTTTTAAAAGTAATGCAATGTTGCGTTACTCCCTCAAAAAGTAACTAATTACGGTACTTAGTTACGGTACTTAGTTTTTATGGATGCGTTGCGTTACTTTTTAAATATGAGCAGGGCTTGATTGTTTTTAATATAAGAAGTTCTATTTATAGCAAATATAAAAGCCCTTTCACACCAAAAAGTGTAATGAATAAACCTCAGGCTGAAGGAAAAGTAAATTCACGTCTGTACAGTACAACACAGGAGAAGAAACACTCTTCAGCAATAAAAAAACAATGAAGCACAATTGTTAGTTTATCTAAAGTCATTTTTGCTTATTAGTATGGTTCAACTGGGTCATCAAAGGTCAGCAGCAAAGACATTGGTTAATAAAATGGTTGTGTTATTTAACATATTTAATTATTGCAGGTTTGCGTCATATTCTGAGTTTGCATTTCACTGTTTTAATTCATTTTGATGAAGGGTAATCTGATTACGTAACTCGCGTTACTTGTAATGAGTTACCCCCAACACTGCTTCTTAGTACTTTTTACAAAACATGGCTTACGGCTCGAACATCTCTGCTTCAAACCACTAGAACACAGAAATCTCTTTTACTGTACTTCTGGTCACACTGCAGAGAAGTGATGCTCTTTCTCAGGAATTCTGTCTTGTGTTCCAGTGCAACTTCCTAAAGAGTCTCAACTCGTAACATCAGATAAGAAGTCTTGTTTTATGAGGAACTGATCAAAATAAAGTGAGTTTGTGATTAAAACTAGAACAATGGGCTCAGAAAAATCAACTGAATTCAAAGGGAAACACGTTCACTATTAACAAAGAGTTTTGCCTCAATAAACTGCTTATTAATAGTCAGTAAGGTAGTTGTTCAGTTCAGGTATGGATCTAAAATATGCTCATGCAGAATAAGCCATTAATATGTGCTTTATAAGTACTAATAAAAGCCAGTATGCTAGTAATATGCACGCTTATAGGCAACTAGTTAATAGTGAACAGTGTTCCCTAATCTAAAGTGGTACAAGATTTCACACTCCTTGGACAGATATTTGTTCTTATTTTAAACAAACTCACTTCATTTTGTTCCATTTCTTAGAAAACAAGACTTCGTACCTTCATTGTGCATCTCAAGTAAACGTATCTCGATTTAAAGATGTTTAGATATTTGTACTGGAAAACGACACAAAAATACAGAGGTAGATATTAATCAACATTTAATGCCATTTAAGACTTCTAAAGCCCCTGATTTGTGTAAGGGTGAGTTAGGACTTTTTAAGACCCTCAGAAACCCTGATATTCATCTAGAAGGGTTCACATTACAAAGAATATGCCCGGTCATATTTCGGCACTAAAAAGGCAGCATGTTTTGGCAGCTCTGATTGGGTAACGCAGCACAGGACGAAGCTCGCACCTGAAGGTGACGGGGGAGATGCGGCCCATGAGAGCGTACGCCGTGACGCTCTGTAAGTGGAAGAGCACGCCGTCAAACAGCAGCAGCAGCACGATGTCCTGAGACAGTCTGAAGGAGCGATCACCCTTCCCCATCAGCGGCAGGTCCTGCGGGACAGAGACGACATCAGCTTCACACAGAGCTACGACTGCATTCAACTGATTTCAACAGGACAAGGTTACTTTAAACTGCTTAAAGGGACAGTTCTCCCAAAAATGAAAATTAGCCCATGATTCACTCACCCTCAAGCCATCTTAGGAGTGTATGACTTTCTTCTTTCAGACAAATCCAATCGGAGTTATGTTAAAAAACGTCCTGGCTCTTCCAAGCTTTATAATGGGAGTGAATAGGTGTTGAGAATTTCAAGCAAAATAAAGTGCACCTATCCATCATAAAAAGTGCTGGAATCTGCTGGAGCCACTGGCATATGCGACTAAATCTTACTCTGGGTGACTAAATGACGTCTAACGTTAGCCATTGGCTAATAAATTCTCAGATTTTACTGGCCAGCGTGTGAGTTGGAGGGTAAGTTTAGCACAGATATATTTTCACTCTGAGCACTTCAGAGTTTCGCTCTCCGTCAAGCGATCTGTGCTGTTTTTCAGCTCATCTCAATGGAGCGCACCTGTATTTGACGCACCGTAAACTCTAGTTGCTCTGCTGATAGCGCTGTTTCTCACACACACGCAAAGAGAGAGAGTGCGAGGGTCTCACATACCATGCAGAACTGACACGCTACAAATAAACGATATTCTTTGTTGTATTTTCCTGTTACAACGTGATTGATATTCATGAACCCAGCAGCTCATTAATCCTTAGTGTGTTTTATAACTTATTAGTAGTAGAATTCGTATTATTATTATTATTATTATCTTATCAGTATTATTGTTAGTTTTTCTCTGACCCTAAATGACCAACAATATCTTAAAGTCCACGTGAACTGGAAGTTGCGACCGACTTTACTTCCGCATTGTGACATACTTCTGAGAGAAATGGAATATTGAATGAGAAAAACCGAGGGCGTGGCTTGTTTTTTTTCTACTGCGAACTGATTGGACGTAGTAAAGTAGGCGTTTCATTCAGAACAACACTGACCGTTGGAGGGGCGTGTCTAAGGATGTTATGCTCAAGCCCAAACCGTCAAACTGACATCATCAGAGAAGGTCCGTCATTACAGAGGCGAGGTGCATTTTCAGATTTGGATTAAAGATTACAGGCAAACAATTTTTTTTTGTGGATTGACTTGCACGGATGAATTTTTTGCCACAAAAATAGCAGTGCGCGCTAACAAAATAAATATAGTCAATTTTGATTTCATGTGTACTTTAAGCATCACCACCAGTCCCGAGTTCAGTTAAAATTACAAATATGCTTTCATACATGATTACCAAGTTCTTGTTCTAATCACTAAAGTTCTATCACTAAATAATGCTTGATTATCATATCACATTATAATGACTGACTGAAAAAAAAAAAAAAAAAGCTGTGTCATTTCACAAACATAAGCTTTTTGTATATATAAAAATAGTATATCAGTCTGGCAAGTAAACTAAAAAATTTACTAGCCAATGGCGATTCTATTGCCAAGTTGTGCGTAGAGGGTTGAATATGGGTATTTTTCTTACACAAACGCATTGATTTGCTTCAGGTGGCCTTTATTCACCCCCGGAGCCGTGTGGGACACTTTTTATGATGGATGGATGCGCTTTATTGGACTTCTTTTGGACTATTGAAAAATAACACCCATTCACTCCCATTATAAAGCTTGGAAGAGCCAGGACATTTTTTTAATATAACTCTGATTGGACTCGTCTGAAAGAAGAAAGTCATACACCCCTAAGATGCCTTGAGGGTGAGTAAATCATGGGCTAGTTTTCATTTTTGGGTGAACTATCCCTTTAATGGTTGTTCTTAATATATTTAAGATGTAGTCGCTGTTTTACGAAAGCATTAACTGAGGTTGGTGAGAGTGTGTTTTTTCACGGACTGACCATCAGGAAGATCCAGGCAGGTATGAGCATGATGACAGCAGCAGCGCTGGTGTAAAACTGAAGCTCTGGAGGACTAGACAGGAGGAAAAAACACAGACACCGTGACAGTCATGCCTGCTTTACAACTCCTTACAAAACAAAAACACTCGCTTATGTTCACTTGGGAGTATCTGGAGTGCGGAGCTCAGTTCCTGGAGGCCAGAGTTAACAATGAAGAATACTGGCACTATGTTTCCAGTGTGATTATCACCCTTATGTCTCAATGACCCTGCAGTGTAGAAGTCCGAATGCTGCATGTGTGCACAGATCAGCGGCTCTCACCTTAACTTGTACTTGTCTCCACTCAACAGTTTCTTGGAAAACACATTCTGTAAACTAAGACAGAAAAACTGTGCATTAGACTGGAGCTCAGGGTGAAGTGTGTGTGTGATGGAGGTGTATGAGAGCAGCACCAGTCCATGATGTTGGTGGAGAGAGCGGCGGAGAAGCCCAGCATGTTGAAGCTGACCTCGGTGGCAGTGCAGAGAGCCAGACCCGCCATCACAGGAACCAGAGACAGATTCACCCAGAACCCTGCAACACACACACACTTAATACTACGCCACTATATCGTTCTGGACACAGACTGAGCTGCTGCGGGGAGAGTGCGTAATCCAGTTTGTCCTAAACATGAGACATGCTTACATTAAGGGCTTTAAAGTCACTCGTGAGATATAGTTAACACGTATCCACCTTATTTTTCAATCGCGGAAGTAAGCCGCTTTCTGTGAGTGTGCGAGACTTCCGGTTTATTAGCCGCTGTAGGAAATAACGAGAAGAAGTTCAAAGTGCAGTAAACGGTAAAACTGTGCGCTACAAACCAGTGTGTTCATAATTGAGATAATACATGAAAAAATAAAAGTTTGCAATATCAAGCAGCAAAGCGAGAGGTTTTGTACAGCTAGAAAGAGCTGGAAGCGAATGACACCGGAAGCCTCGCACATTAAATTTACAAATGCCCACGCCGCTCTTACGGGAAAGTTTAATTCTGACTAAAATATACATTTAGCTAAAATATTTGTTGTTGGACAATGAATGTGCCATATGTTGAAGTTTAAACCTACAGGTTTTGTGTATTTTTCTGACCGCACTAACTATAAAGTGACTGTAATCAAAACAGTCTGTGCTTTTGTTTTTATTTATTTTCATTTTTAGTTTAGTGAATTTAACTTCTGCTTTAAAAAGCATTATTTTTGTTTTTAGATTGTAATGTTACAATGCTATAATGTGATTTTAACCCTTTTTTGCACATAATATATAGCACAGCCTACGTGGTTACCTTCACTTTATTTGTTTTAAAACCCCAACATTGGGCAGGATCAGGATGTGATTTTTTTTGGTAACACTTTACTTGAAGGGGTGTGCATAAGACTGACATGACACCTTCATAATCATGACATGATACATGTCATGAATATGAAGGAGGTTTTATGCATGTTTATGACAACTGTCATTAAGTGTCATTCGCTCAGTTGTCATTTTTAATGCAAATATGACATTATTTGACCTAACCCTAACCTAACCCTACCCCTACCCTTACCCCTAACCATAGCCCATAACAAAGACATCTCAAACAATGTCATCTTTGCATTACAAATGACACAACTGAGCAAATGACAGTTGTCATAAACATGCATAAAAACCCTTCATATTCATGACATGTGTCATGTCATGATTATGCAGGTGTCATGTCATGATTATGTAGGTGTCATGTCAGTCTTATGCACACCCCTTCAAGTAAAGTGTTACCTTTTTTTTTTATCCAGATAGAAAGCTTAACAAATACTGAGATATGATTGTTTGGCTATATCGCACAGCCCTGGTTGCTAGGCGGTTATTTACTGGCAGGAGTCAAAAGAACACAACCCTAACAAGTGTCTATGATATTCTGCTCTCTAGAAGGTTTGTAAAACCTACTTTTTTTTTTTTTTTTTAAAGAGTTTTTGAATGAAAGATGCCATTTCTGCTCAGCAAGGCTGCATTTGTTTGATTAAAAATACAGTAAAAATTGTGAAATATTTTTACAATTTCAAACAGCTGGGTTCTGTGTAAATATCTGTTAAACTGTAATATATTCCAGTGATGCGCAGCTGTATTTTCAGCATCATTACTCCAGTCTTCAGTGTCACATGATCTTCAGAAATCATTCTAATATGCTGATTTGCTGCTCAAGAAACATTTCTGATTATTATCAATGTTGAAAACAGTTGTGCTGCACAATATTTTTGTGGAAGCCGTCACAAAAGCGACAGTAAAGATAATATTACAAAAAATTATATTTCAAATAAATGCTGTTCTTTTCAACTTTCTATTCATCTGTGAATCCTGAAAAAAAATAAAAAAAGTTTACAGGAATGCTAAGGGGTTAAACTTTTGACTGGAAGTGTCTGACTCAGGTCCCTCTTGCAGTGGTAATGTTTTCCAGCCGTTCCGTCATTAGTTTTAAGCCTGATCATTCGGACGCATGTGTTTGAGCTCATCCCTGACAGAGTGTGGTGTGAGGAGCGCGGCACCTGTGTATTCTCCCAGTATGAGGCGGGACATTATAACAGTGAAGATGGGCGCCGAGCTCTTCACCGTCTCAGCGAACGACACGGCCACATTCTTCAGACTAACCAAACCCAGCACCACTGTCGTGAACCTGACAGCACACACAGAAGAAGACAAATAAGCTCGCCGTGCCAGTAAAACACGTTCCAGAGTCTTCTTTATCAAGTGACAGCAGGTCTGAAGAACAATCAGGTGTTTTTCCCTAACTTCACCACTCTTGTGTGAATCTCACATTTCACTCCAGAAACAAGAAGCACATTCACCCTCAATATGATATGTGACCCTGGAGCACAAAACCAGTCTCCATGTCAATTTTTCTAAATTGAGATGTATACATAAATAAGCTTTTCAGTGATGTATGGTTTGTTAGGATCGTACAATATTTGTCTGAGATACAACTATTTGAAAATCTGGAATCTGAGGGTGCAGAAAAATCTAAATATTGAGAAAATCATCTTTAAAGTTGTCCAAATGAAGTTCTTAGCAATACATATTACTAATCAAAAATTAAGTTTTGATATATTTACTGTAGGAAATTTACTAAATATCTTCATGGAACATGATCTTTACTTAATATCCTAATGATTTTTGGCATAAAAGAAAAATCTATAATTTTGACCCATACAATGTATTTTTGGCTATTGCTGCAAATATACCCCAGTGACTTAAGGCTGCTTTTGTGCTCCAGGGTCACATATATGCGGATTACGCTAGTCAAAAAGTATCGAGTCCTAAAAGCGTGATTTCCATTACTGTATTACCGTAAAGGAGACTAAGACTTTTGTATTTTTGCAGAAAGAAGAGGGGAATGGAAATAATGTTGCAATGCAAATAAAACATTGATGTCCTAACAACAGGCCTCTTTTTCCTCACAGAATAAAACCAATCTCTTTCTGTTGCTTTTGAGGTGAAATGTTCCCTACACGTGTTTTTTAATACAATTAAACATTTTCATGTTATTAAAGCAAACATGCAACATCACATCACTTCTATCCCACTAAACTGCATCAATAAAGTTGTGTGCGTCTCGTATCAAACTATATTACACAGGAATAACAAATGAAGGATTGTGAGCGTAAACACACCTCATCAGTCCCACAAACAGCATGATCATGAGGAAGTTAGGGGGGTATTCGGTGCGGGATTTATGATGATGCAGGGGACAAGGCACGAACGTCTTAACACAGCCGATGACAGTCGTGGAGAGCATCTGAACAGCTCCTGAAAGAATATTTGCGAACAAAAATGTACATTTAAAGGAATAGTTCACCCGAAATGACAATCTGCTGAAATGTGCTCACCCGCAGGCCATCATCAGAGATTAGGATGAGTTTGTCTCTTCATCAGATCTGGAGAAATGTAGCATTGCATCAGTGTCTCAGCAGTGGATGCTCTGCAGTGAATGGGTGCCGTCAGAATGAGAGTCCAAACAGCTGATAAAAACATCACAATAATCCACAAATAATCCACAGCACTCCAGCCCATCAGTTAACATCTGGAGAAGACAAAAGCTGAAACTAATCCAGCATTAAGAGGTTTTTAACTAAAATATGAGTCCCTAATCCATAATATTGCTTCCTCCAGTGAAAAAGTGTTCTGGTCTGAATCTGGAGAGAAATCTGCACAGATCAAGCAGCGTTTAAACAGCTCTAAACAAATATGAGAGACAACAGGAGATGCACTTTTTCACTGGAGGAAGAGTTATTATGGATTATGAGGTCAATGTATTTTAGTTAATGCTGGATTAGTTTCAGCTTTTGTCTTCTCCAGATGTTAACTGATGGACTGGAGTGCTGTGGATTATTTGTGGATTATTGTGATGTTTTTATCAGCTGTTTGGACTCTCATTCTGACGGCACCCATTCACTGCAGAGCATCCATTGCTGAGACACTGATGCAATGCTACATTTCTCCAGATCTGATGAAGAGACAAACTCATCCTAATCTGGGATGAACTCATTCTCTGTCATTTTTGGGTGAACTATTCCTTTAAAGCACAAAGTGTTTTCAGGCAAAGGCTAATAAACGGGTTAATCTCAATAAAATATATTATGTCACATCTCACGCAGAAGCCGAATGCACTTGCATGTCGTTGTTTGCAAAGACTGTGGTTTATTGCACTAATCTTGTTTGAGAATCAGTGTTACCAAACATCGATTGTTGCGTAAGATGTGGAAACGCACCCAGCATGCTGGGCTCTCCCTCCAGCAGAGACAGTATGTACTTGTTGAGGAAGAGCGTGCAGAAGCTGAAGAAGTACCAGAGCACCAGGTAGGTCAGAGCCCTGGAGCTCCAGACGCCGGCGTCGGCCTCGATCACCGTGGTCTCGGTGATGGTGATCTTCAGCACCGGCTCCCCCGGCGTGCTCTCGCTGCGGGCCAGCAGCACTCGCTCCGACCGCGGCCTGAAGCTGCTGAAGGAGGGCCAGAGCGAGGGCTTCCCCGAGCGCCCGATGCCGCTCATGCTGCAGGAAGACGAGCTCCAGCAGTAACAAAGCAATGAGCGTGCGGAGACTTCACATACTACAGCAAACAGCAGGGGCACATGGAACAAGAGTCGCCTGCGAACACAGCAAAACACACTCACTCACTCACTCACGCAACAAGACATCTAACTCAAGGCCAGGCCAGCAGACTCTTAAATACCTCAGGAGACAGGCTTTCTGCAAGACCAAGCAAAGGATCAAATCAATAAAAATACCTTCTCTAAATCTAAAGTCTTGCATTAATAACGCAAGTTTTAAAATGCATCTTCCAACAGACATTTTACAAAACAAAGCTTAAGGCTCGACTAGCTCTGATTCAAGCATTTGAATATAGAAATATCTTTTACTGTACTTCTGATCACACTGTCCATAGACTCTTAAATCAAGATACGTTTCATGGAGAAGCAAAATAGCATAAGCCTCGTTTTCTGAGAAAAGTTTATGATTAAAACAAGAACAAACGGGGAAAACAAGTGTTCATTTCTCATTGACAGACATTTGTTCTTGTTTTAAGCTTGAGCATTTTTTTGGTTTGTTTTGTTTCTAGGAAAACATTGCATGACTTTATGAATTTAAGACTCTCTGCTCTGATTTAAGAGCTTTTTAAGACCTGCAGAAACCCTGAGATTACTGAGGTTAAATAGGAGCATTCACACAAAAGCCAGACCTGCCTATGAGCACACAGACTAATAAAGCTCGCATTATATGTTTACACAGAGACTGGCTCGTATCTGAGCTGTCTGAAGGACTAGCTTTACTGAGGCAATTCCGCGTTCAGCACATTTACTGTCCGTTTCTTTCAGATAGAAGCCACTTAGCTGGACATTTTTGCTAATGAGATGACAATGACTTCTTAACAGGTAAGTGTGGCTTACTTTTTGAGTATTTATATATTGAAGAATATGGCCGCAGTGCTGCTCTATTTACTTATTTGTCTAGTGTGTTTGTTTATTTGGCCTTTTGATTATTTAAATGGCCATATTCTGTTAATGTTATTATTCTCCAACACAATGAATTAGAAAGCCATCTACAGCAGTCAGTAAAGATCAGACATGATCGTGTCAACACATCTGAATACATGATATGATAGCGTTTAATGAATAATATAACACTCAACCCAGTGTGTTCCTCCGAGCCGCAGCGAGATGCACTTCATCTGCTCTCCAGCGACTGCTTCACATGCTTTGATGGAGCCTGAGGACAAAGTTGAGCTGAGATCATGAGGTGTGGGGTGAGAGGGTCATCGACACGTCTGTGTGTGGATCCAGCGGCTCTGTGCGCGTCTTCGGTCTCTTTCCTGATGTGTGTTTGTGCGGATCATCCGGAGCACACGCTGCGCAGCTCTGCTTCTTCCGCTTTCACCGGCCGGCCTGCGCAACTGGAGCGCAGCTTTGACTCGGATCACGACATCAACGACAATGTGCGGAAGTATAAAAACACACGATAGGTGCGTCCCAAACAACTCGCGTACTTATGCACTATTGACGGGTTGTCGTATAAATAGTGCGAGTAGTGTGTTCACGGAAAAT